GTTCTATAAATTTAAATGTATAATTGAGAGAGTTCGGGAAATGTGCTCAATAGCAATTGCATTAATTGAAGCTTCACGTCTTTAACGAATGATTCATATAAATACGTAGTTGGACAGGCAAATTCATTTAATTTTCAAATAGATAATAGACACTGAATGATTGAATTGTTTCAACTAATGTAAGCCTTTGACGCAGGCCAATTAAGTTTAATAAAAAAAAACAACTAGACGAATGCAGATAGAATGTTTAGGAAACAAAGAAAACATCTTGACTGATTACTTATAGTGAAAAGATGTAAAGATCAAAGAAATCCACATATTTTTGAAAGAAAAGAAAATGCAAAAAAAAAACCGTTGAAAAAAAATGTCTCTATTAAAATCATAGATTGTAACACTTTGAGCAAATCATGTTGATATTTTTTTCGATTGTTGCAACGAATTGATAATAATAAGTCAATCAAATGAAAAGGTTTTATCTGATAGATTAGATAAAAAGGCTTGAGCCGGACAAATGGTTAGAAATTATATTGATGATCTTTTGTGAATTTTTCATTTACATAATCAATCGGAACTTTTCTATCAATGACAAAATAATATTTTTCTTCGCTAGAAATGGTCACTTTTCCTTTGAATTGTCAACAAATGTCAAGTGATTAAAATGTACCCACGTCACCACGGGCCAATTCGTTATAATATCCGAATATGAAAATTAACTGAGAAATCAACATGATATATTGCTCGATAAAAACTAACGGTATTTTAAAAGATAAATTATCTTCCTATAATATACTTTGTGTTAAAAAATGTGTTTCGTGTGGATATTTGATGAAATAAGGCTCAATTTACTATTTTACAAACGATATTGCTGCGAATTCTGAAAATGTCAATGAATGATTGTAAGACAATGGGCGAGTAGCTACGACATGTGAATTTCTGACTTTTTTATATTATGCATTCTATTCGCGAGATCGAATAAAATACTATGTTTTTGACACTTTTCACAAAGTGAGTTCTGTTTCGCTTTGAAAAACTTTCAAAAATGTTCTGAAAAACTTACAAGTCTTGTGTCTATAAAGATTCTCCTTCAGAATCGATTGATAATTAAAAACATCTTTCCATTTATAATTGGGAACTCACATTAAAAGAAACATTTGAATGCATTACAATAAAATATTTGTCATCTTCAACAACGTACACCAAATCAAAATAAAAACTGACCGCTATAACAATACTTTGCAGTAATAAACTCAAAAGAAAAGAACTCAACCAATTAATCTGGTGAATCAAATATAAGAATTTAAATAAATCTTATAAAAATGAATTTTTTTTTCTCGAGGTGATATTGTGTTTGACTCAGTTTATTTCCTTAGTTTTTTTTGTAAGTCATACAACATGAATTTCGAATACTCAAATAATATTAAATTATTTTGAATACGAAATTTAATATACAATCAATGGTCTATGGTGAAAAGTATTTGAATTCAAGACAAAAAAAGTGTTCATATTTTTCAGAAAGTCCAGAATGCAGAAAAATTCTATTGTAAATTTTATGGTTTTTCGCCTTTTGTCATCTCATTGCATGGAAATTTACAATATCGTTCATGTACTAAAAAGAAAAGTAATATATCACAAACCTTCTTCCGTAATCAGCTCTTCATTTAAACATTTAAGACACCGAACATGAAACAAAACAAACGACGAACACAAATTGGAACATCGGAACGCAACGGTTTTATAATATAGAAAATATGTCAAATTTTTCGAAAAGTCTGATACACTCTAATATACAATAGAGTGTTTCCCATATCTGTATAAATAAAAGAAAACAGTGGCATTCATCAATTCAAAGTACACAAAATTTTATGACAATTGATAGCATTCGTAAAACGCATCGATTGATATTTAGACTGTCTGAAGCGAAAAAAGGTATAAAAATAAATTTGATTTTGGATTTTCGAATTCGACCATACTACCCTTACTTCGAGAGGAGCGGGGTCGGTTCAAAACAAATTTTGTAGAATCCATTTGAATTGATTTGAGCCAATGAAACATTGAGAAATTGCCTAGATTATCATTTTCGATGTCGAATCATTTCTAGCAACAAATCATCTCGGGCCCGTTTTGAAACATCATCGATTGTTTTAATTTCGATGCTTTCTTGGAGACTCATGGCATGATTGATATCCTCTTCCAAGTTGCTTTCCACATTTATGACATACGAATAATAATAATGAAATACGTTCATCAAATTTCCGAAATATCGATTGCGAGGTCAATTGAAATGGTGCCAATCGTTCAAACTGTCCACAAAATTGCGAAATTCACAAATTCCATCAAATTCATCAAATCATTGTACCATCAAATTCGCATTTTTTTTTGCTTCACGAAGCCTCAATATCAATCGATGCGTTTTGCGAATGCTATCAGTTGTTATAGCATTTTGTTAACCTTGAATTGATAAATACCACTTTTTTTATTTACAGGAAACACTATAATATACATAATGTATGTGTATATTCCGTGATTAAAAGTGATTCAGGCATTCACTTTGCTTTTAGGTGATATTTCTTATGTGATAAATGTATCACATATATTTTTTATCACAGCATGCATATTACGTGTGAAATGGTAATATGAGACAATGTAAATGTGCTCACCAGAAAACATTGAACATTTGAATTATGAGAGCATTAAAGCACCGGACAGCAGAATTTTTCTTTATATTTCTATAAAATATTTTCATTGATTTACTGCATCTATTTCGCTATCATCATCAAAATGGGCGGAAAATCGGGCTGAAATATATTTGTCTATTTATTGTATCGCACGAAATATGATAGAAAGTGATGTAAAAAAAAACCCGTTATGCATACATTTCCGATGTATGGACGTATGGGATAAGAAATATCATTTATGGAGAGAGAGAGACAGAAAAAGAATTAAAAAAAAATATTAAATTAGCATTTAGCGGTAAAGAAAAACACAAAACAAGAACAAGAAAATATAAAACAAAACTCACAGAATTAAAATGAAATGTTACTTATTACTGAAAAAATTATTTATATTCATTTAAAGACAAAATATTATATATACATTGCTGTAATTTTTATACTCGTCATAATAGAATGGATAAATGAAACCATTCATTTAAGTTTAAAAAAAATACTTGAACCAACAAAGCAAAGACTTGAACTGAAACAACAAACACACATACACAAGCAACAGTAACAACAAAAGAATAAATCCAAAAACGCAAAGTTTGTTTTAGACAATATATATTATATATATTGGTGCTGTGGAAAAAGCAGTCCCAATGGCGGCATTTTTTTCTCTTCTGTCAGAAAAAAACTCTCTTTGCCCATAAGCGCAAAATTCAAAGTGAAAATGCAATTATTACAATGTTAAAAATTTAAACTGAACAAAAATACGTATATACTAAATGTCAATCCACGCAATAAAAATGATGCAAAACAACAAAAAAAACGGTTAGTAATTAGACTATTTTTTAAGAAAAAGAAAAATAAAGAACATGAATAGAAATGGTGCATTCATATAGCTTTTGAAAATGAAAGCAGTTTTCCGTATCGCTATTTTTGAATTTCCATTATATATATATATATATTATCTAAAAGTGTGACTTTAGAAATGCGCGTCAACACACCAGATGTTTTTTTTTTTTTTTTCAATATATTATCTACAAACGCTGTTTTCAAAATAGATTCTCTCAAAAAGATGCATCATTGGGGAAAATGGGCAAAATTAAAGAAAACGGTTTGGTTTGATGTAAGTTCATCATGTGAAAAATTGTTCTAATTTAAAACAATAAAAAAAATGAATCAAGTCTGATTTGAATGCAAATATGAACTCTTCAGAATTTAATTCGGCTCAATTTTGTAAATGAGCGAAAAAAAAACTTGTGCAAGAGATGAAAAACAAGAGATATAAACCTAATTTCTATCTAATAAACTCAATCTATAAATATGAATATATATATTTATGAAAGATTCTTCAGTAGATATACATATACAGAAACGTTAAGAGTAAAATGAATGAGAGTGAGAAAGAGAAAGAGTAAAAAAACGGAGTCTACAATCGAGAATAAACTATGTTTTCACTTCCTACTTTATCGAGCGTATTCTTCAATGCGTAAAAAAATGCAGCTAAATATGAGCTGATGCATATTTTTATTGACACGAAACGGATTGAACCAACTGAAAAATAAAACATATTTAGCTAACTACGAAATCCAGAAGAAATGGAAAAACAAGAAATTTAAAACTCGCAAAATGTTATTGATTGTATGAATGAATGGAAAAAAGTCTAAAATTTTCTCTCAATTCGTTTACGAATATTTGAATAAGTTTCGTTTTTGCAATCGGAATTCAAGTTTTGTTAAAAAAATTTATATTAAAAAAAAAATCATAAAAAACATCAGAATTTACAAGTTATATTGGTAAAAAAAAAAGTTATACAATAGACGGCCTTAGAAGAAAACAATAACATACAGAACATGTTGCAAATAATACGATTACAAATTTTATGAGAGCAAAAACCAAATATATAAATGGACAGCGCAAAAGGCAAATGCAAAACCAGCCTACTTACATAAGAAACACGTCTCTTTATATATTTGGTTTTTGTTCTGTATGTTATTGTTTTCTTCTAAGGCCGTCAATAGGTTTATTAATTGAGATTGAGATACACTATTTTCTTTTCATCTTTGTTGTGTGAAAAAATGACGTTATTGCAAGTTTTTTTTTTGTTTGGATAAACATGAATTACGCTTTTTGTTTTGAAGAGTTTTCTCCATCTACTTCAGCATTTGAATACACTCAATTCATATTTCAAGAATTTTCTCGGATTTTGTTTGTGACGTATTTTTAACAAAAACTACTAAAATTAAGAAATAAGAAATTATTACGATAATAAATGATAACAATAAATCGAAAATGGTTTTGTTTCTCTCGTTGTTTGAAATATTTGAATTAAAACAAATTAAATGGACGATGGGATTAAAGTGATTCGTAAGTAAACTCGTTTTTATTTATATCAATCATTTCATTTCACGTTTTTCAAATAGTAATAGTGAACACTGAAAAACAAAAATCACAATCATATAATTAATATTTTAATTGTTTGTTTGCGTCATTCGTCGCATTTGAAATGCAGTGCGCTCATTTATGATGTTATATGGCTCATTGCAATTGAGCTTTTCGAAAATGATTATTCAATGGGCCTTCGTCAGTATAGCCGGCAATTTCTTGTGGCACAATTGACGTTTCTTCAACACCCGAACATGGCCGACACATACATTCCAACGGTGCTTTCGTTGATACCTGAAATATATTACAGACATGAAAAAAAATATTCTTCACACTTTTACGCTTTGTTTTCTTTTCTTTTTTTGCTTATTTTCTGATCTCCATTCCATATTATGAATTATTTAAATAAAGAACTATATTGAATGATTCGACGCGATCGTAAAATATTGCTGAGATCAAATTCCAATCGGAGCTTAAGATATAAAAATATAGTCAAAACATACCTTTCGGAACTTCCGTTCGCCTGGTTTTGCTTTGGGGCAAAATAGTGAAACAGCTGCTTCTCTTTCACCAGATTCCTGGCAACACATGCAAGAACGTTCCATCTGCCAAATTTTACTACCCGAAACCTATTCAACAAACAGACAGGGTTACTATTTTCATTTCACTTTTAACAGTAAACAATTGAAATTGATGGAAAAAAAAACGTAAAATTACCTGAAGATAGCTTGAACATCGTCCGATGCACGCAAAACTTGGTATTGGTTTTGGAACACAGCCTGGATATTGAAGTACATGTATCACTGGTGTCACCTGGCATTCATCACTGTTCCGTGACTGGTCTTTCACTTCGTTTTGTGCATACGTCTGATGCACACCAATGGCGCACGCATAAATTAATGCAATTAAGATTGGTTTATACATCGATTGTAAACTGTTCATTTCAAACCTCCAAAAACTCATACACTCGCGCACACACAAAGACGCAATCAGCGGCGAAAGAGATAGAGAGAGCAAGTGTGTGGGTGTGTGTGAGAGTGAGACAAACAGAGAAGAAAGCTTGAAATATTTTTCACGAAAATTTATATCCCAAATTCAAATAGACTCGATTTGAAGATGTCACAAAGATTGAAATAAACTGGAAAATCAAAATATCAGGGGTGACGGAACGAAAATATTAAGAGTCCATTGAATTGAAAAACCGTTACGAGATTGAGTGCGAAAATCGGCATGCTTACGACTTTATATAGTCAATGTTGGTGTGTTTTTTTTCCACTCCGGCCAGTAAACGCTAGGCATGCGTCGAAATAAATTGAATCGGCCATTTGCACCATCATCGGCTGTAACAATCAACTCTTGACACATTTCTCTTTCTCTCACCGATTTGTCCAACTGTGATCTTTCTTATCGAGCCGCAAATGCAAAATGCTTAGTTGCGACACGATGATTGTCCATTTACAAATCAGCGCTCGTACACATTTGTATGGACACTAGCACATGCAACGAAAAACCCTTTCACATCATGATCAAATCGCACTACTGGAGCCGACATCTTTCGATTTTTCCCAGACATAATTCGTTTCGCATTCGTCGAATAAGTGGGTGTGCATGCAATACATTCCGGTCAGCACAATTTTCATATCGACGAGCGATGAAAAAAAAAAAACGAATGTGCGATTTTCCATCATCATCTACGATGGTGAATTGTGCCCATTTTCGTTGGCTGGACACAGGATTTCAATTATTATGAAACACATAATTTCAATGTCATGCTGGGCGGGCACGTTATACATCATATCCAAAAGTCACTTGTTGAAAGTGTTAATGCTAATGTGCGCGCGCTGTTCATATTTTCCAAATCGATTTTAATGCAAAACAAACATGAAATTTCTTTACAAAATAAATACAACCATTTCAATTCGGGTCGACATGAAATACTCGGAATTTCATCGCTCATTGTCACAGCCATTCTATGGGATATACTTCGACCAAACCCTTTTTTTCATTTTTATATTTTGTGAAATATTATTTACCATATTCGATTGAAGCGGAGTAGACTGAATGATAACATTTCGAATTGGCATCGATTGATGTTAGCTGTTTAAGACACGAATTCAATGGAATGATTTTAATACATTTTATTTATATTTTACTTTGGCTCAAACAATTAAATACCGAATTTGGTGATTAATACAGTACATAAACATTGTCGAAATGTGACTAAAATCTTGAATCAAATTTATTTATTTTTTCTATTCAATTTTTGGCAAAGTGATTTCGATTGACTGAGATTTCTCTGTGTGAATGTCGTTGCCAATATTCCACTTATATCTTATACATCATTAATTCCATTAAGACTTTCGTTAAAAAGACGTAGAGCTCGACGTCCGTTCGGCATTAGATAAACATCATCGATGCTATAAAATCTATTCTTAGGTCCAACGGTACCATCAAATCCACAAAGATAACAATCCTTAAATTGCGAAAATTTTATTAAATTCAATGGTCCAAATAATATACTATATTTATAAGCATTGCCACACTTACAATTGGATACTTTCGATTAACGGTGAAAATTTTTCGTATCCAACGTTCTAAAATGAAAAAAAAACACACTTGTTAAATTGTACGAGAACGATTAATTCTGGATATTTTTAAAATTACTTCCGGTTCCTGGTATATATTGAAAGCCAGTTCGATGAAACTCTTCGATAAGATCTTGTGCTGATGCCATGTCATTTTCGTTAACCTAAGGAACAATCACAAAAAACAAGTCTATATAGCATTATAACGCGTATATGATTTGTGATCATCTTAATTTCATATAAAGTTACAAAAGAATAAAAAAAATTCGACATTGTTGGAAAAATAATGAGATTTAATTTTTGTTAACCCAAGAGTACTGGTCGAACCACGTATTGGGATTTTCCTTTGTGCTCACCAGCCGATCCTTCCATTTAACCAAATACTCAGTCTGCAAATATTACTTTAAATTAACGTTACAGAATTCAAACATAAAGAGACAAACACTTTACTTGACCGACTTCATTTTGAAATACGTCAAGGATGGATTCAATTTCGTATTCGGCATTCCAATACTGAAATAAAAAATGCTCATTTGAATGTTTGTGCCAAACGCAACAAGAATCAACACAAACGTACACCTTTGCTCTTTTCGTATTCAAAAACCAAGTTTGGGCAATAGCATTCAGAATAATTAACCCAAGAAGCCGGCGATCCATCTTTCCATTCCACCAGATATTCTGGCTGCAAATATTTATTTATTCATTTTTGTGGTGATCACGTAATCAAATGGAAATAAAATTATTTATACAATTCCTCTATTGTTGCGGTGCCTGGTTATTCTTGAAACTTCTTGCATATTGTCAAAATCTGGTATATCTGCAATAGTTAAACTTGAATTCGAGCTATCGAAAGATCTTGAAGATATCATTGTGTTGAACTCTTTTAATTTTTCACAATCACAATAAATTGCACTCAAATGGTGGCTCTACACAAAAACTAAAAAAATTGTTGACTACAAATGAAACGATTGCTTTCTGAGACTCCTTAAAGAATGCATACTGAGTTTTTTTCTAATCAAATTCGTTTTTTTTTTAAATAAAACGATTGAAACAGAATGGAAAGAAACTATATAATTTGGAGTAAACATTCGAAGGCAAGGTAGTTCAATTTCCACACACAAACAATTGAATCTTTCAATTTCTTTCAATCAAGAGCTAACATACAATACAAGATTACAGATTGGCATTCAATTGCAGGCGATGTGTTGATATGCAAATTTTTTTACTTACCCAAAGATATTTTATAATGCGGAGAAATAAAGAGAAACTACTTAAGGTTTTTAAGAACAATGATTATAATTGTTTAAATAACAAGTGATGAGTACCTTTGGCTATTTAAACGTTCAGTCATGATCTGTTTAAAATTCTATAAATTAAAAGACGTCTCTTTTTTCATTTTCTGCAATAAAATGTTCTTTATTGTTTCTCAAAAATTAACGTCAAATGAACAATTTTCACACTGATGTCATTTTGTGTAGTGATAATTGAGACACATGAGATTTAAGTTAAGTATCTATTGAGAATCGAATATTGATGATTGATTTATCGTGAAAAATCACCGCATTTGAAACATCGACATTCGGCTGGCTCTTTCAAACGAATATCCATCGATCCCATTTCGGATGTGGTGAGTCGTGTACCATCCGGATCATAGCAATGCGTTAGAGTAACAACACGTTCATGTAAGTAACTTTCACGGCAACAATAGCATTCTTTTAGGAATCCAGTTGGTGTTATAACCGATGGTTGCACTTGGCTATTGCATAGCCCTTCACATTTATTAACCTGCACTTCGTCGTTGCATGTGCGTTGCAATCGGCCCAATTCATCATATTCCTCTGCAAATGCAATAGAAATAGTAAACGAATTATATCAGAATCGATCGTAAATCATAATTATACAAATACCTTTGATTAGATGAATCGTGGATGGCAATGTTTCGCACACTTCATCACCCTTTTGCTGTGCATTAATTGTAATTACGTGAATGCAACCAATAAATAAAATGACCAGCATCGATGACGTAATGGTTGTATGACGTTGATCGCCAATCCAATTGTATCTCCGAATGTCGTGTAACAGTCTCATATCGTCTAAATTTGTTTGTTCCTCCTTATTTCCTGTATTGCACACGCACACAAACACATATACACATAAAACAATAGAATTATTTTGGACAACAAAGTAAAATTTTTACTTACTTCGATGACTTGAATTCTTTGAGCTTCACGAAGCATTTGCGACACAGCGGAATGTTGCACCCGACTTTTATACAAATATCGAGAAAAGTTGAATCTGTTGATAGCCAGACAACAATGAAATCCACATCGATGCTTGCGCAAAGACGAATTCCATGCAGTGCTGTTTTGTTGTTGGTGATGATGACGATGATGGAGATGATTCTCAAGTGAATAACACCATTTTAAGAGCATTCAATAGTTTGTGCAATGGCTACGGATTGAAATAAAACCGATAACAGCATCTATTGCCATACACAGCCAATACTCATGCTCCACTTTTCAACACAATTTCGATATATGGGAATCACATACGACATCCACCAGCATGCTGTGTGAAAATGCGATATGTCGCGCTAAAATTAAGTTGAAAATCATGTAGATGGAGTATCATCGACCGAGCAGATCGATGATTTCATATGTCGGTTAAATCGCCGTCATTTACAGACACTATTCATCACTTTGGACATTGGGAACTGTGGCTCGGTAATGAGTCAGCCACGATATGGATAAATATCATACCGCATGAAAATTTATACTGACCGAGGCGAAGGGATTGCTTATGTCGCCAATCGATTAAACATTTATATGTGGATTCAGTCGATTTTACTTAGCTATGTGATATAATTCTCAATATTATTACAGCGAACGCAATATTATGCAAAGAGAGGTTCATTGCCGTGATTGATTCGTCGACCTTTCATAAATCCAAAAGATTTCTGCATCACTTGAATTATCTAAAACAAACAAAAACATTGCAATATTTCTGTATAACTCACATTCTCAATGGATTTAAAATTATTTTAACTAATACCAATCCTTTTCTTTTCTGAATTGAATGAAATTATTTGAAATACTTTTAATACAATTATACTTTTATACAATAACAATTTTGAATTTAATTGGAAATTTATTGGATGGCGTCGAATTGAAGGGTTTTTTATATTAAAAATCTGCTTTGCTTTCATAACCGTTGACAACATCGCATTGTGACAGTGTAAATCTAATGAATTAAGTTTAATTTAGTTTTTTTCGACGATTAGAATTTAGGGGCTAGTTTGAAGTGTCGTTCTGGTCCAAAATACACTAAAAACGGCTAAGAAAGGCTAAGAAAGGCTATTCCAACTTCAAGCATTTCACAGCACCACTGCAATTAAATTATTGGCTTTTGTTCATTGGGTTTGAGTGCGTATACTTTCAACGCGATAAGAGAAAAAAAAATGGGGCCCATGTTGCAATTTCAGAATATATGCCTCCCTCTGCTATGCGATCGATCTACATATTGCGTTATCTAGGGAGACTCCTAGAAACATATTGCGGATCATAGAGATAAAAGAAAAAAACATTTATATTCAATAAGATCTTTATTTTATGAATTAATAACTTAAGAATACAACAATTACCAATAACAATCAAGAACAATTTGATTTTTTTAACGTTTTAATATTATTTGAAACTTATTTGGACTGTTACAAAATCTTCCATGCCATCCATTGATCAACAATGGTTTCAAATCACTGTCTTTAACAATCTTTGTGTGAAAAAAACACAATAATTTGAGTGATTGAAACTTACTCCAGTGAGGTACGATTTCTTCGATTTTTAACTTGAAATGATCAAAAATCATGAGCTGCTCAAGTATTGGTAACGCTGCTGCAATTCTGGATAGATTAAGTCTTTCGAAGTGTCCACCTCTTAATATTAATTTTGTTATTGTTGGATGTTTTTCAAGGAATTCATATTCATAATTTGTGAATCTGTCAACACCGTGAAGTTCAAATGTATCAAGTTGATGACTGGTAAATTGAATTGCCCTTGATTCAGTGCTTAATTGCATGTTCAGTGAAAACTTTTTCAAATTCCTAAAATACATCAATGGTGGCACACTGGAATCGAGCAATGAACAAAATGTATCGTCAATGGCAAGACTTAGACTGTCTAAGTTTTGCAAATAATTGATCACAAGTAGAACATCATTCGATTGAAAAACATGGCAGTTAACAAAAAGATCAAGATCGAGCTCCTTTAATTGTGGATTCAAACGGAAAGCTGTTACTAAATTGCCTTTTAATATACAATACTCATCTGCATGGTGAAATTTGCTATAGGAATTTGATTCAATATGTAAACTCTTCAAATGAGCAAAACGGCCTTCAATAAATTTCAGCGTACAAGGTTGATCAAGGTTCTTATTTATGGTTTTCAAGACAAGCTTCTGCACTTTTGGAAAAAGTGCATTCAACAAGTTGTATTCAACCAAATCGGTAAAATTACAATCGTAAAATTCAAGGTTTTCAAGATTTATAAACGGTCTCTTCATGTATCTTGATGCATCTTGAATTCTAGTAAATTTAATGGTACGCAAGGATTCAGCACAATAATCATTTGCATAGTCAATTGCACGGTGAGTCAATTCAACATTATTTTCATTTTGTACTCCGTTTTCGCCAGGAATGACATAACGTGGTATGTATGAAATGTGTATTTCATTTACTTGACGTCCAAAACAGAAAAGAAATTGAAAGCTTGTTCTCAAACTATAGAAACAGAAGCGATTTTCGGTCATAAAATAGTTTGAATGCAATCTTGATAATATGTGCATTTCAACTCGTTTTGAACGATATTTTTGTTCGTAAATGAGGTTAGCAGCATTATTTAATTTTTTATTCGAAATAGCTGCTCTCAAAAGATCGTCGAAAGACAAATAGTTTAAACATTTTCCAATGCATTCACTAGTCATATCCGTGATTTTCATCGTTCCTTTGGCTTTTGAGACTTCTATTGAACACACAAATTTTCCTGCAATTTAAATATCAAATTATTGAAATGTTTTGCTGTAAGTCCAAAATTATATTTAAGAAATCGACACTTACCACAATCAGTATAAATTTTAAGAACGAATATTGTATGCCGAATATATGATTGTTATGTTAACTATAGCGGAAATATGTGACGTAGTGTAAATATTGTTTATTCACACGTGTTGTCTTCTATGCTTGCTTCTATCTATCACAAGTAAATATGGTGTCTTTAATAAAACGATAATAACAAAAAACTATACACAGCCTTCAATGTTGAAAATGTAACACTCAAAAATATGTTGATTCAAAGGAGTTGCATTTCTATTCACTTATGTAAGAATATGTTCATATATTTAATTTTATATTTTATTTTTCACTATTATTTATACTTAGTAAGTGTTCACAACCAATATGTCCGTTCTCAACCAATTCTCAAATTCAACTGAGATACAAAAAAACATTCGGTACGATTCTAACAAAATAGATCATTTGGAAAAGTCCAAAAAATTCTGTTGTGGTAACAAAATAAATATGTTGTAGTCAATGAACTATGAACTCATTTGTAAAGCATTAACAAGATGTGAAACACATACATAAACTATTTAGGCATTATCATCATCACAAGATGCAGGTAAAAATTGTGATATTTTGCTTTGATGCACACAACGTTCAACAAACAAAAACTGAACGTTCTTAATAACGTTGAAAAATGCAATGCTCGGGCCTTTTCTTGAGTGCATTTTCGCCTCGAATGGAGGAGTATATTGATTTCAATGGAATATTTCCATTTTTTTTTCTCTGCCAATAATTGTTAGAAATAGATTTGGGTTTGATTTAAAATTTTACATCTTTAAATTATAATTACAATTTTGAGTTTTCGAAATGCATTTGAATTTTTATGACATTTGTCGGTTGGGGCGCGGTTAATTTATCAAACCGCATCGAATGAAAGGCCCCGAAAAAATTTGAGGACGAGGACAATTCTTGAAAAATAAATTGAAGACGCTCTCAAATTTGCGAGCTAAGCGAGGAGAAGTAAAAAAATGAAAAAATTTGATCTATGAAAAGATCATTCGCATCGTGATTGCATTGTTAGTATAAAAAAAAACTGCTTTATTTTATTTTAAGGGTTCATAATTCCAAAGTGATGCAGCAAAATATTTGAATTTGTTGAAAATCGGTGTGATGACACCGTCTAGAATATTAGTTGTCAATATTAAAAGTACATCATATTGTAAGATCAGATCAGTGAACAACGTATTTTTTTCAATTTGTTGTAAATTTCAGACAAATTTTTTTAGTTCGTTTCAAATGTGGCAAGGAAGAAAGAAAGAGAAAAGACTATGACGGCGAATTGTGATGATGATGACGAATTGAAATATCAATCTTGTTGCCGAACATGCAAAATGGCTGAAAAACTCCTTTTTCGGGCGAAGTTGGGAAAATGACGAAAATTTCATCGTGAACATCGCTATTGCTACTGTTCAAGATATGTTACTCGATCATTTCTTCCTAAAACACATTAAAACAGTCATACTGTTTACTTAAAATGAAGACAGAATTCAACTATAATTCTGTACATTGACAGGCAAGATAAAAAGGCCTCATATCGGCTTAATTTCACATGATTTAGATAAAATAAAAAAATAGTTGCTAACATGTTTCATCAAATATAATTTAAATTAAAAAAAAAGTGATAAATAATTTTAAAATCAGTTCGTAACAATAATAAAAATTCTGCCAAAATCATAGTCAATTTTAATGAGTAATTAACGGATGTTCGTTAAAAGCATGATTCAAATCGTGCATAATACACAAGTTACCAACATTTTAATGTTTAAAATAGACTTGCACACAGAATATGTGCATTGTATAAAAGCATCAAAGGGATATTCTCATTCAGAGCTCAAACACTTCTTGATTGTTACAAATAAATATGAAATATATATTTTTCACCAATCAAATAATTATATTGTTTGTGTTCATTTCATTTTAAAAATGCTTATTTAAAAAAAACGAGCGAAAAAATGTTTGAGAATACTATTTGATTCTAATGTGTATGTGATAGGCTTGCATTGAATATCCCTTTTTTCTGATTTGGTATACGCTAGTTGTCCTTTTCGCACTGCGGTACATTAAATGCCATCTCTAACGCATTCAATAAAATCCAATGGGTTTTACAGATGTTACGACGAGTATTTCAATTGTAATTTGTGATGGTATGGGTTTCTTTGTAGTACGTTATAGCATTTGTACATGCAGGCAGGCAGGCAAGTAGCCGTGCAGGCATATGTTATGCGATTATGAAACAACGACAATGGTTCAAGAGTTCAATCACTTCTTGGTAAAAGAACAAATCATTTGGCAAAATCGTAAAAATTTTGGTATAAAATCTCGCATAAAATGAATAGTCATTTATGCAACCGCAACGATGACAATTCAATGAATCATTTTTGATGTTGAATTTGGGGGGAGGCGAAGACAATCATTAAGATTGATTCAGTGATAAGTGCACGTTTTTTTTAATGTTTGCACATTAAAAGAAGCATTTCAATATTCCAATAGGCGTTGATTCGCTATCTCTAAGCACTTAGGCCTTTACAAACAAACCGAGCATATTACTAGGTTGCATTAATGGATTGCTTTGATTGTACAACTGCTCTTACTACGATTTCGTAGTATCGTACACATACAAACACACACATACATACAAAGACACACGCACACGAAAATAAACTCAATGGTTATTTTTTTTTCTGTTTGAAGAATAAAAACAAACATTTATCAATGTTTTCCAGTCGCTCAATTTTTGGCGTGTGTACGTTGCAGCTGTATGCGTGATTGGTTATTGTTGGTATATAGTGTGACTTGAAAAGAGACAACACTAAATCACATATTCCAGTCATAAGCATGCGGTCCTTGTCTATTGCGCACGATGTGTTTGGTGTGTCGTATCGAATTTAATGCGTTTGATGGTATTGGTGTTTTTGTTGCCATCTTCGTCGTTTTTATCGTCGACTTTTTTTGTTCGTAGCATTTGTAGTACGGTTTCTGTCTCATGGTCGACTCGACACATATCTTGTGTGTTGTGTGTTAGCAAGCGAGGACATTAAACAAGAAACAGTAGTGAATTAAAAGTAAAAATAAAAAATTTAACACACACAGTAAAGAAAAATACTAACATTAAAAATGACACGAAAACGTTGATCATTTTGGTTTGCAATTATGCAGAACGGTGATTAGTAATGCTTTTGCCAATCTCTCAATGGATGAAACGTATTAGTGGTTCGAGAGTGTGCTAATCGAACAAACACACATCGATTTCACAGTGTAGCGACAGAAAAAAGAACACATAAATTACAAAACATTAAATAATAATAATAAGGTTCATTTATGTGGTTGAATTTTTTTAATTAAATAAGAAAAAGTACATCTGGAGAGAAAGATATAGAACGTGAGTGCATTTCACATAAGCAGACAATCAATTAAAAAAGAAAAAAAAAAGAAGAAAAATACTTGGCAAGCGAACAAGTTTCGACGGAAATGAACGGTGGATATTAAACGGCGAAATTATTATATTTCTTTTCTGTGTTGCTAATTCTCAATTTCTCTCTTGTTCGGAGGATAATTTGTTCGGTTTGTCGATTTGACAATAGTTTTTTGAATATCCGTAAAACAAATTGAAATGAGAACAAAAGAACAATCAAACCAACGACAGAAAAAAACCGACATTTCATCTATAATTACTGATGTTTTTGCTGTTGCTGTTGCTGCTGCGCGGTAAACATTGACATTCGGGTAAATGAGTATAGTGTGCATTATAAGTGTTTTGGAAAAGGAAAAGACAATCAAATCTAAAGAATTAAACACGAAAACCAATTAAGCCAAAATGAATAATCATCAAAATTATGCGCACGGAAAATTGCACGGCCGAACGAATTAAAGAAGAACGACAGTGTCAAATTAAAATTGATTAAGACCAAAACTTAAAAACGAAAAAAAAAGAAAATAAACAAAACGAAGAAGAAGAAGAAAGAATATAATAATATAATGTTGTTGGCTGTCGCCTCAGCATAGAGTGAATGAAAGCATAAGTGTGAAATGATGGTCTTTTATCGTGTGATTGTATGTGTGGGTGAATTATTAGGCGTTGAAACAGACAAACAATAACACATAATATTATACATATTCTAGTTGTGTGATGATGAATTTTCCATTTGACGCGCGATACTACCTTATTTTTCATTCGATATTGCTTGCACATACACACATATACTTGCATGCCTTTTATGTCCATAGCGTCTCGATTTTTGATGGGCCAACCGTTTCGAAATTCACAACTCATAAGATCATCTGTAATGTTTGATTGAGTTCCGTTCTTTTTTTATTACACAATAAAAAAGAAATGGATTCATGTGGTAGGTGTACTATTTTATTACAAAATTGTATATCACCAGAACCGAAAGTGCACAAGTTTGTTTTTGTTCTCGCTCGCCTTTGAAATGTTATGTTATTTTCTGAATACGAAAAAAAAAAAAACAAACAACACCCAATTGCACATTGCACATTCCATGTTTGAAACTGCATGGTTGTAGCTAATGTTTCATAGTAAATGCCAAGTAATTGTAGTTCCCTTTTATGCGATTCGAGTAGATCGAAAATTTCAATTAAAAAGCACAAATTGACGACGAAACTTGAATTTTAAGAAATGGAAAGGCAAGTACAGGAAGCAGAGCAAAACCATCAAAAACAACAACAGAACCGACACACAAAACTCAGGTTGTCGATTTCAATAAAGTTTTTCATATGTAGGCGAGATTTTAGATGTGATTTTGTTGTTGTTGCGGCTGCTCTGCTGCTATTTCGTTTCTTTTCCATGCCAACGCAATCTATTTTAATTGATATGAACGAAATGAATGGGACGATTTTAATTTTCAAGAGTCCGTACGCGGTTTGTTCGTAACGCTTTTTTTAAAATACAAAATAAACTCAACTTAGTATGAGTGAGTTTTCAATTGAAATCTAACATTCTGTGTAAATCAGTATGGATGTTGATAACCGGTGTGTTTCATGCAAATGCTCTATTTGGAAAAGAGGGCGAAAACTTGGATATGCAGCATTTTTACTATCGCTTTAAAAAAAAAAAAAACAAGCACACATTGAATGACAGGCGCCAACAACGTACAATCACAGAAAATAATGTCAATATATGCAATCATTACAAATCACTAAAATTACCGCATTTTTTTTACACACTCTGCCATAATCGTCGCGTTTTTAAGATCCAGGTGCAGTCTCGGCGAGCGTGTACTTTTCGAAGAATGTGGTGTTCGTCCCACAGAGATAGCACTAACCATTTGCATTCAAATAGACACTGAAATTGATTGATTTGAACATAATTTTTCCATTCCTTAAGTTGCTTCGGTTTTAGTAATGAGCATATGTCATACTTAAATCATTAGTTTTTCATCTTTTTTGTTACCCCTTTTGCTGTTCGTAATCATCTTAAGAGTTAATAATTTAATAGCTAAACGACTAGTTCTTTCCATCGTTGTTATGAGCACATAATTGACTCGAACGTTAATACGGAATAATATCGAGTGAAACATCAATGAATGACAAATATGCGTTTTGTGTGGCGATAGAAGAAGCATACACAAGGAAAACAGAAAAGATAGTGAGAATGAGCAGTTGAATGCGTACATTGACACTGTGTTATGGCATTGTGTGCCACAGAATGAGCTCAAAATATTTATACAATGAACGAATTGATTGTCTATTCGATGCTTTTTTCGGGTTATGCTACAAACCAAATTATCTATTGGCTTAAAGTGACACCTTTGCTCTTCATCTTTTTTTCCTGTTGTGTTTCGATCACTTGATTACCGTAAAGGCAAAAATCGCATAGAATAACAAGCACCCCAGTTTAACGAGATTCCAGTTTTGTGGAATCTGGCCAAATTCATCGTGGATGACAACCGAACACACATACAAAAAACAAAACGACAGGAGAAAAAAAAAAGAGAACCGTATGAATTCGCAACAAAAATGTCATACATTTTCAGACTTGGTCAAATGACCATTTTTAGTTTTCCAGTTCAATGCGTTGAATTTTCATTTGCCATGTCAGTTTGAATAAAACGGAATTTTCAAACGAACCACGCATACCGTGTACCGTATGTGCATCGTTGGAATGCTTGTACATCAAGCTCATAACAAATCGGTTTTAATGATAATCGCATTCATTCGATGTCAATACCAGTTCATAATCACAATCAACCTTAAAGTCGATTAGCTTTTTGAACAGAAAATAACAACGATGAAAAAAGGTTGACTCAACTGACAAAAATGTGACGAATAAATCTAGCACTATGTTCGGTGTCATGGGTTCGCAAGTTACCCCGTCCTCGTTTTTTAAAGCGTTCGAAAGATAAAAGAGAAGAACAAAAAAATAATACAACGACAGTGTTGAAGACGAAGATGGAAAAGAACGAGTTGAAAAAAATTCAAAAAAAAAACGCTGAAACACTTGATGTAAATAAACGACATTTTTTTCGGAGACGAAGAAAGCAATTTGTATGGAAAATGCTTCACATTTCATGCGTGCTTTTCATGCAAAGATACCTCGTGGCTCTTCAATTCTACTAGCATTTCTTCTTTTTTTTTCTTCTGATAACAAGTTCAAATATCGATAACAACAACATGTTGTTGTTTTTTCCTGTATTCATATGAAAAATACATAGTTCGAGACATCGAATTAAAGTTAATAAGATGGGCTAGAGGTGGCGACCGAGGCTGTGCTCAAAAACCGATTATCAGTCAATTCCAGCTATAATATATCGATGTTGATCTCATAAAGTAGAGATTTATAGTTATCGGCGAATCACGCGCTCGTACACTCACTCATGCACTTGCTTAAATGGATTTTTTTTGTGGTTTTCGTTGTTAGTCAAGTATTTCTTACTCGAGTGAATGAATGAGAGATGGAATGCATTTGACAACAATACAGAACGACTGATTGAAAGCGGGTGGAAAAGGTGCCATCACATCACACATTCACTTTAATGGGAAAAAGTGACAACAATAATAAAGTAATTCGATGAATATAAAAAAAACGATGCTTCACAACGAAAAGTAATGAGTTGTGTCATTCTGTTTCGTTACATACAACAAAAAAATATGCCAGTCGCAAAAATATGTTCGACATGGACACAGACATATTCAATGTACAAACCAATCGGTTTGTTGTTGTTGTTTTACAAAAATGACCAGAAAGAATGAATCGGTATCGGTGGAACGAATACAAAGAGAGTCGCGATTGAGTAAGTAAGAGCGGAGCGCACGCGATAGAAACACAATCAGCGAGAGAATATTTTGTGCAGAAAAGGCTTTTTTTTTGCAATGTATATGAATCATTTGTGTGATGTGTCGGTTACTTGTTCAATGTAAACGATGTAAATGGAAAGTGCCACAATCACAGTTTTCACCCAAATCCATTTGAAAATTGACGACCCGATAGACGATGCAAGAAAACGCACATAACTAGCCATTGCAATTCCTGAACAAACCATTTCCAATTTGGTCTCTTTCTCTCTTTCTCTCTCTCTCTCTCTCTCTCTCTTTATATATATCTCTCTATTTCTATCTCATGCTCATTCTTTGTGTGTTCACCCATTCGACGAGAAATGAACCGTTAGACACAAGAAAATCTAAATACTTGGTGGCTGGTGGTTACGTTATTCGTTATTCACTCGGTCTCTATTTATTTTTATATGCTACTTGTTCCGCTTAATGCGGAAAATGTATTATCGATTTTCTTTAAAACCAAAAGCGAAACAACGAAAAAGACAGACAGAGTGCGAGTGAGCCGAACGAATGAGCGAGCGTACGGGCTAGAAAGAGAGTGAAAAATGAAAAGTGACTCCAAAAACAAAAACGACCCGATACTTTATGTGTATGTATTTATAGTATATTAAGCCAACACGCCATTATCATGTTGTATGAGTGTTTGTCGGTTGTTTGAAAAACCATTTTCACAACCCGTATTCACTATTGTCGCATTGTTCGATTGCCTTGTTTGTGTATATAATTTTACCGAAAAACAAAAAGAAAGAAATTAAACAAAATAGAGAAAGCATTTGTCTCGAAAAGATATTTTCTCTTCACCCCCCAGTTAGTCGACGTTCGTAGACTTAGTAGTCGTTAGATCAAGATCCTTGGTTATTGGAACGATGATCAGTTAGTGATTTCAAAAAAACAAATCGAAATGCGTGCATAGAGTCGTATATTTGAAATCAATGTTAATTTTATTTTATTGACAATGAACATTACCATGCATAAATTTGCACAGAGAATCAAACATGCACGGCACACATATGTTTCATTGATGTAATGAAAATTCAGTGCGTATTCAAGTAGAAATTCATAATGATTTTCCGCTTGACGTCATTGTTCTTCTGGAAGTGTGTTGAATTATTGATTGAATATTATTAATAGAATCGAGCACAATATATATGACATTTCGTTTCATAAAATTTTCTCCAGTTTGAGTGTTTCATCCACACAAGGAAAATTATTATGATTGCAATTAAAATGGATTTTTTTTTTTCATTTTCGGTTATGTTGCGCACAATCATGTCAACTTAATTACATTTCCAGCATTTGAAACAATGGATGGCATTGGCAATTAAAAAAACATTTAAAAGAAATTGACGCACGATTTAAAATAGTACACACACACACAAAAGCTAATTCCGTCACTTCATTCTGTTTTTGGTTTTGAAGTATGCTATTTAAAA